GTCCAAGTCATCTTCGTTATGCGTCTGAGTGTGCGAGGCCAAGTCCTCTCGATCTTGTATTTCTGCCAACTCATTCTCCCTCCTCTCCCTCTCTCTCAATCCAAAGCTTCCAAGTCCCCACCCAACAACGTCCGTATCTGCAGCTTCTGGTGATGTACCGGACGTTCTTGCAGCAGCAGCCACCTCGTTTCCATATACTGCCCGTCTTAAGCGCATACGTTCGAGTGCTTGACTATGTGCTGCAGCGAGATGCGCTCTGCGTAGAAGGTGGTAGAAGTGCGAGAGTGCGAGCATGGGAGGTGTTGTGCGAAGTCGGGACAGTATATTACTCGGCCCAGCCTCCGTCGTCGTCGGTGAGCTCGCCGTAGTTGACGCAGACGATGCTTCCACAGCTTGGGTTATGTTGGCTCCTCTTGAATGATCCGTCATCTCAATTGCTTCGCCTTCTTCAATAGGAACAGATCCTGGATGCGCTGCATTTACTCCTCGATGAAACCTCGGCGTCTCACTTGCATTTCTCCACAGCGCTTGCGCTTTCTCCTTCTGTACTGTCCTCCTCGCTGCACGCTTCCTCTCTCTCCTTTCCTCCCTTCGCAAGAGCTCCTTGACCTCGCCCACGCCTCTTCCACCGCCTACCCACCACCACCATCCTAGGAACTCTGCCATAGCACTACAGCCCAAATCAAGCTTGGCAGCCAGAGATACTGATCCTTTGTCGGGATGTAAAGAAAGTTTATAGCAGTAGAGATGATTGCAAGCGCCAGTGCTGCACCGCCAAATACGGCCGTCCCACCATCCGTACGCCAAGCTTGTTTCTGATTGATCGCGAAACCCCAGAGAAACAAAGCAGCAGTGAAGAGGAGCAAAAGTGCAGCGTTGCATGTGTTGCAGATGGTATCAGCGACGTCGACTGTTGTTTGATTCTGGTGAATGGGAAGGAGCTCCATAGATGCTGACAGCAGTGCAAGAGGTCCTAAGAGGAAGAGAACGAGGCGCTGTTCGAGTCTGGACGGGTAGAGCAGTGCCAGGAACTGGATATGTGTGATCTATTTGGGCCGTTAGCATCAAGAGCAAATGAAGGCCATTGTAGTGCGGTGACCACACCTGAACAAGTGTGGACGTTGTTGCGTCCATCGCGTACCACCCTGCCAACTTAGCTGTCGTCCACGTCGGCGAATCCGTCACACTCAAATCTGTGCTATTTCCACTCAAGCTTGCGATCGGTGGAACGTCCTTTGCCAAAATAGTTGATCATGTATGGCCATTCCCGTGTGTCCATAAATGCACTATTTAGCACTACAAACAGTGTCGCAATCAACGAAATCAAGAGTGAAGGCACTCCAGAAAGTTGGAGAGCATAGTGATATTGTGCTGCAAAGAGCAGGTGGAAAAGCAGAACGCAGGTGAGGGCAAGGATACCATTAAGAAGGATCTGGACAGGCAGAGAGCTGGCGAAGGCAGGCTGCATGGCGAGCACTGGGTTTTCATCTTAGCTGTCATCAGCAAGCACGCTTTGTAAATATACAATTAGTGATAACAGCGTTGCCGCCCGTGGCTGACCCATTGTTGCCGGTGTCTGTCGTGCCCGTCGTCGAAGTTGTCGTATTCATATACGCCGAGCGTCGAGAGACTGAACCTGATTGTGGGAAACGATATCCAGTACGGTACTCGCTCTTTTGGCACAGCATCGGCTGGAAAGTATAAATTTCTGGAACCGCTGTTGCGAAAGAAAATCAGGTACTTAGACTCAGGTATCTTGTAAGTATCTCTACAGACCGGGGCCTTCCCTCTCAACCAGAACATTTCATGATTCATCAATCGATATCAATGTCCAATCCTGATTCCTGTAGTCCATGAACGACACCGTGGGAATAGCCGCGACTCAGAAATGGCAACTTGGTCATGTCATGCGTGTTGTCTCTCACCCACCACCATGTCTTCTTCGACTTCAAGTCCAAACACTCGCCGCTATGTGGTCTGCCTGCTTTACAATGATAAGGCAGAAGCTTGGCCCTTTCGCAAGCAGGAGGAGGCAGACGTTGCTGACTTGTGGCAAGACATTCGTGCCCATCCGAGCTACAAAGATGCCCTGAAGCACTCGACGCTAACGCTATACAAGGTCTTTCTCCAACATGTCCTATTTTTTGTCATACTGATTATCTATATGCAGGTCGGTGTGCAGCCTGACAATCTAGATATTGAGCCATCAGAGAAACTTCGTGAACGTGCCTGGGATTGGCTTCGCAAAGATCCACCGCGTAATCCAATACAGCCTGCACGTCGTCTGAGCAAGTATTTCCCTGAGGGACCCACGCCAGAGGATAAGGACATGATAGATATCATTGCTCTGGCTGAATCAAGTACGTATTTTGTTCTCTGCCCGTCCACAAGATTTGGCCGGTTCCTTGCACTTTGGCTAATCTATATGTACAGCAGGCATTCCGGCCAAACGCTCGCGTCCTAGTGAAGAAGAATCCCCTCAGGCATTACAACGACAACGACAACAACAACTCCAGCAGAGGCCGGTACCTTTTCCCACAGAAGCAGGGGCATACTTTCATATAGACCCTGGTGCCTTCGGTTGGCAGCTTGAGCATGTGGATGACTGGTGGAATTTCTATGTGTTCTGGACAAACCAATCATCCGACATCGAGTTCCAGCAGTCTGTTGTTGCCCTTGCCACAAACAAGCAGGGTCTCGATGACCCCAACCACCGATTGTCCGAACTCACAGAAACTTGTGGCTGCCTATACGTTTTACCTTTCTATCGAAGGCTGGCAGAGAGAATCTTCATATTCAGGAGGGAGGATCAAGAGAAAGGCATTGTTCTCACTGGCCAGCCAGGAACAGGTGTGTACTGTTACCTCCTATATGGATTGGTGCTCATAAAGACTAGGGAAGACAACCTGGCTGTGGTACATGCTCATACGTTGCCTCATAAAGCATGAAAATGTGCTTTTCCATTACCACGGAGTTACACGTTTCTTTTTCGAGGGTCGAGTTTATCGGCAGGGCTGAATCC